TGATCATTTAGAAATTATTATATTATTCTTCACCTCTTTAATTATCATTCTTATTAATATCAGTGCTTGAAACGGATGTGCTGCTTAATATTTTTGTGGAAACGGTGATATTTTTTTTCTTTTGAATTTTCTAAACAGCATTTATTTGAAATAGAAATCTTTTGTAACATTGTAAAACTCCTTACTGTCACTTTTGATCAGTTTAAATGTCCTTGTTAAGTAAAACTATTATTTTAACACTGTTAACTATATGACCCTGGACCACAAAACCAGTCATAAGTCGCTGGGGTATATTTGTAGCAACAGCCAAAAATACATTGTGGGTCAAAATTATCGATTTTTCTTTTATGCCAAAAATCATTAGGATATTAAGTGAAGATCATGTTCCATGAAGTTATTTTGTAAATTTACTACCGTAAATACATCAAAACGTAATTTTTGATTAGTAATATGCTTGGCTAAGAACTTAATTTCGACAACTTTAAAAGCAAATTTTCTCAATGTTTAGATTTTTTTGCACCCTCAGATTCTAGATATTCAAATAATTGTATCTCGACCAAATATTGTCATATCCCAACAAACCATACATCAATGGAAAGCTTATTTATTCAGCTTTCAGATTATGTATAAATGTATAAATCAGGGTCACATATAGTTAACTATTACCTGTATATAATTAAAGATAATATTGTAATTATATATTTTATTATAGTATAGTTACCTATTAACTATTATAATGGAAGTGAATAGGAAATATTCACTCAGCGCAGATGAAATGTTTAACTTATCCTGCTTTTTAACTCTCAGGTGGCACTCGAAAGGTGAAATCTCTGAGGGATCCATCTTCTAAGATGTCCAAGTCAGACCCCCAAAAGTTAGCTACAGTCTTCCTGACCGATACGCCTGATGACATTGTCCTTAAGATTCGCAGAGCTGTGACTGACTTAACTTCTGAAGTGACTTATGAGCCTGAGAGTCGGCCCGGTGTTTCAAACCTAGTCTCCATGCACGCGGCTGTGTCTGGACAGAGCGTGGAGGAGGTGGTCAGGCTGGCTGAAGGTATGGACACTGGACAATACAAGAATGTGGTGGCCGAGGCTATTGTACAGACGCTGCAACCCATTCGGCTGGAGATCCAAAGACTGAGGGCTGACAGAGGGCATCTTGAGAGTCTGTTAGCCAAAGGAGCAGAGAAAGCTCACAGCCTCGCAGCTCCTGTGATGACGGAAGTCAGAAAACTGGTGGGCTTCTATTAAGCCTTTATAAACTGTGAAATGCAATGAACTCTTCTTTGTCTGTGTTAGATTCATTCAGTTTACTAGTGAAAACGTTTGGTAAGTAAATTACACCACTGTCACAGATTACCCATGTCTGTTCAAACACTCAGTTTTGTTTGGTTTCATCTGTTTTTTTGTCCATTTTTATTTTAAGCAAATAAATAATTTTCTTTTTATTTATTGTCATATTAATAACATTAGTTCAAAATCCTTTTCAGTCTCACACGTGCCTCAACAAACACATGCTGTGCAGGAGAAACTGCAAGTCTAGCCAACTCCATGTCCGTTCAAGGCCGCTATTTGACATGCACTATGCACGAATGGAGAGATGGAGCAATTTGTGCTTGTGTAAGGATAATGTTTTAATTGTATTGCACTGTTTTTTCCCTTGTAAGAAAGTATCTGTGAGGAGGTGGCAAGATAGTCTGTCCATTAGGCAAGGTAAAATTGTAAGGCAGGGCAACTAAATTCCATGCATTACCAGAATTCAGAGTTGATGCACTAATTATTATGTTACACAAGACTTTATACCCATTTATCCCTGAAAACAACAAAAAAGGAATGCAACATATAAATACACTTAATATGCTCCTGTCTACCTTTTAAAAGAGTGTATTAGGGAAAATTCATGAACGAAAAAAAAAAAAGCCTACATAACTAAAATATAAAAGATACACAGGCCAGAATTGATTTGTTGTTCTATATTTAAAATAATGAGTTATGCATGTCATTTTCAATTGGAAAGAATTTCAAATCCTTCGTCTGACGTCTTTCATATATTCACTAAAAAAAAACATTTCCTGCTTTATAAACTTCTTTGCTCTGAAATAATTCTAAAAGAAGTCATCATAAATCCTGAAATGAGAAAACATCATTAAGTCTACCCGCATTTTCTCTGATTCTTTAAACTGCAATTGAAAAGGTTTCCAGCGTCATTTGCTACACAAACATGCATTATTCTCCAAGCTGTGTTCTGAATTTAAGGATATATGGGAGGATTAGGTGGGAAGTTTACTCGTTCCACGGGGCAATTAGTGATCAGTCCAGCAAAATGAATCGTTTGTTAGAGCAGCTTTTTTCGATCTCTGTAATATATGCTGACGGAATGGCGAGGAGCAGTCACTTGTTATTTGACAGTATTTCACGTTACTCTTCGCTTTGATGTGTCATTCATTTTCGCCTTGTTCAAATGCGCTATTTTTAGCAGATGAGGTTTGTGCCAGGTTTGTACCGTTGGTATAGACTCCATATGTGCTGCAAAGTAGAAATAGGCTAATAGCAACTGTGCAAGCATGCTTACTTGGCAATATTCGATTACGGGAGAAAAATAATGAGCAAAATGATAACAAAACGTGTCCGAAATTTATTAGGGTTTATCATAACAACCCATGGACAGTGTGCTAATCGAATGCAGCGCTCATGATACCAAGCGATGCGCGGTCAAGTGTGTGTTGAGTTAGTTGGGTGGCTCATGTGATGTGAATGTTGTAAACCCTTGAGCTCTTTTTCTGAGGGCAGGGGTCAGCCTTTTTTCTCTAATTAAGCGTTAATAATCATCAAAATATGCTACATTCAGCGACGAAGCAATGGAACTGCTGTCAAACCGAGTTAATTAACATTTCCTTGGGAAAAGGATACCGTGTGTTTGGGAAACGTTAATTCCAGCGAGAGTAAAGCAGAGTCCGTCTAATGAGACTTACCTCGAATAAACGATCTTCCTTGAGACCTTCAGTCTGTCCATTTATAATTAGCCTAAAAACAATGTTTATTTATTATTATTATTTTATTTTTATTTTTTTTGTGAGGCATTCAAAACAGGACTGCGTGTAGCCAAACTATTTTATCCACACTTTATTTAGGCTAATTAAGAGCATCTTCACTAATAAATCAGTAAACAATTAAATAGCCTAAATAAGTTATGGAAAAGGAAAATATTCAGTTTTCAGAATAACGCACGGTAAGAACTTACCAACTACCGATCCTATTAAAATCACTCTCGAAGGAAATATAATTGCTATCATTGAAAACTAAACAATTAAAAAGGTTTTGAATACCGTTTCGAAGTGAAATCAGGATTTCACAGAGAAAACGGGTTAAACTTAAGTATAGAGTAAATCAGCTCATTAGTAAATGATATGTGGGTAGGCTACATATGTGGTAGCTACGCTTCAACGACGTATTTGATAAATAAAATAAATTAATTAAATTAAAATAATAAAGTGTAATTAAAGTAATAAAAGATAAATCCCTAAATGTATTACTAGGAAAAGCTTCAAACAGGGTTTATACTTTAATAGAGGGAGGCTCCACTATGTATGAATTTCTACATTTTATTAGGCTCGCGGTAAGGAATCAAAGCCTAAACATTGAAAGTCTTTTTGTATGTTTCTTTATGGTACATTTATAGTACATTTCTTCTAAATTGCTCTATAATTTCTCTATAGGCTAGTCGTTTTTCGTGTCTTACTTTGAAATCGTATTTTTAAATAATTATTTACGTTATATTAAATATTTATTGACTTGTTTCTAATGCTGAATGTGCTTTTATTCAATCGGCTTTACAGTTTATTATTATTTTGTTGTTATTTTATTGTGTTTTATTATTTTGCTATTTGCCGGCAATTCAACTTTAATTATTGTTCGTTATTTTGTTCTACACAGCAAGCAAAACATTATAAATAAGCTAAATATTAATAAATTTAGCATAGTCATTGTTTGAGCACTTACCAATTTTAGTAGCCTAATATTTAATATCAATATAGTAATATGCTGTTAGGCCTAATTGTTTGGTAACAATTTTGATTAAAAAGCATGAAACTATTAGCATTGATTTAATGCCCTATTTATTTTTATAAAGATTCTCACGTTAACGTGCCATTTATCCTATTGCTTTTTGTTATATTACACGAAGATAAAACTTCAGTTTTAAGCTTAATTACCACAGTATTCCGTCTCTGCAAATTACATAGAAAGCCTACACATGCACTCACTTGTTTTCAATAATTGATTACAGTGAAATTTAACATTTGTTTAACAGTGAAAGTAGGCTATTGGTGCTTAACACAGGCTACACAGGGTGATGATATTTTATTATGCAGAGGCAATCTGTATTCATAAAAACGGATTCAGTTTTGTGGAGTACAAGAAATCTTTAAAGGAAAGCTTATGAAAAGCACCTATAAAGTCTTAGACCAGGTGTAGCTTTCTTGTGGTATTTATCAAGTTTAATATTAACCAAAATATGCTTTAGTCAAAACGGAAAACGCAATCAAGTTTAACCAGTCATGTCATTTACGAAAAAAAAGAAAAATATAAATTGTATGCGTGCAAATTGTTACGCAGCAATTTTAAAGGTCAAATAGGTTGCTTAATTTTACAATGACCCACCGGGACGAATAACAAAAACGTAATATTGCTAATGATGCGAACTAAAAGCGGATTGATTTTTTTCGCCAAAGGAACAGAACCAAATTTTTTCAGAACATATAGCAACTTTATCTGCTTGTTAAATCGAATGAGGTTAATTCATTGTAAGATGGCCATCTCCAAATTCCAGCATAGAGTTTCTCCACCATGCTTGTTATTTCCCTCTTCTTCCATTGGACGACATATTTTGGCTCTTTCCCTTCCTGCGTTTCCCATTGGTCGTGCTGGACTTGACAAACACTGAAAGGGTTGCCCCTAACGCTTCGAAAAAAGTTTTCCAGAAGTGAATATCAATCAGAGAGGACTCAACGACAGAAAAAGAGACGTGGAGAAGTTGGACGGAGACTCAAAACATCGAGATATATTAACAAACTATCTTCTCGGACAAGGTATTGAGCCAAAGTCTCTTCGTTGGTAATGGGTTCTTTTATTTTTAAGCCTTTAAAGGGCATAAATTAGACTTGGGTTTGGATTACCGTCGTCACCGGAGACCTAAATCCACCCGTTATAAGCATTTTGCGCGTGCGGCATTCCTGCGCCTGCCGCCTGGACGGAGTTTCTATTTATTCTCCGTTGGATTTGCAGTGGGAGAGATGAGTGACAGGAGACGATCCGCTGCTGCTCTGAGTTCACGAGCGCACGCCTTTTCGGTGGAAGCCCTGATCGGGACAAACAAGAAGCGGAAGCTCCGGGGCTGGGAAGAAAAGGAACTGGAGCTGTCTATGGAGAGCCTCGCGAGCAACGGACAGTTGGAAGACGGCGAGGATCCTGCTAATTGTCTGGATATCGATCCGGGTTAGTGCGTGCTTACATGGCAAACTGAATTGCCATGCACTCAGTTAACATCCCGTATAACATTTGACCGCATTTGCAGACTAACGTTTTGCCCTGGAATAAAATGTTTCAATTAGGCTATAGGCCTATATGCAGTGAGCCCAAATGTCACTTTAATTCAGTAAAGCATTATTTTAAATAATATTGAACAACAGTTTTTTTTATTGTTAAATTACTTTGCACAAACTAGTTAAAGCTATATGATCTTATGTCAGTGAAATTTAAATTTAAAGTCCTATGTTTTTTAGACAAATCCAAAAGAAATTCAAGTACAATAATTCATGACAGACAAATAGTGTTGGAATGCCACAGATTTAATTGTTCTAAAGTACAAAATTGCATTCTACAATAGAACATTTGTAACTCGTGATTTATTAATCAAGAAAAGGATCGGTGTTTTAATTCCGACTAGAAGCAAGTGGATTAATTAAAATTTAGTGGTGGGTTAAATTTAGGGTAATCCATACTGTCAAATCTTGCTCTTGTGTTTTATTAGGTCAAAAGAAGAGTATATGCCTTTATACAAATTATTTGGAAATATGAACGCTCAGCTTGAAACTATTCCCTGTAGATGTCAGTTTGTGCCTGTTATGCCCGTCTCCAGGTCGCCTAAAAAGATAAGCGCTCTTGTGAGATCACGCTTGCAGGCGCTCACGCACATGTGAGTGTGTGTGTGTTTCTTGGTTTCATCGCTGTAGTTCAACTGTTGCAACGTTAGTCATCACTTCATTAGTCTCGCTTCAGAAGCATTTGCCATTAGGCAGACCATTAAGTCCCACACAACAGGCTGCTGACTGATCATTCTGTACATATTCTGATATAGCACTCTATTGACGTTGGATTTAAAATATGACTATTCGCCTCATTTTAAAAATAATGGTGAGCACAGATAGACATAAGTTATTTCGGCATTTCTGAAACCAAAGAGCAGCATTTTACAGAGGAGGACGAAAATTGAGACAGGTGAGTAGGCCTATCCTTATAACAAAAATTTTAATTTTATTTTTAAAAAAAGGACAACTGTCAGACAGCTTTTAGTAGGTTACTTTAATAATGAACAATATTTGATTTGATTTCTTTGAGATTGCACATTTTGGGCCAACAGGTCACAGTAGGCCTCCATGTGCACAGATAACGGATTGTATTCGTACTAAACCAACAGTAACAGCAGAAATAATGAAACGTAATTTTTCACGTCGAACTGTAAACCATTGGTGCAAATTATACGGAAATCCCAAATTTTGCGTTAACTTATAAGTAGGCCTAATAAACGTAGACCTTTAGGTAGCTAATCTGTAACATAATGACACTTACAGGTTGGATGGTAAGTGCAGGTCATCGATACATTTTAAATAAAATATTTGAATTACTTAACAAAGCATTTTAACTTAACTGTGCAATGCTCATGTTCTTATTTGGCCAAACAGAGAGTCCATATAGGCTATAGAGTAGAATAGAACATATTTTTTGCTACAGGACCCGAAAAAAGGACCACATTAGATTGTGTCCTTTAATTAAGCGGCACAATAATTTAAATTAATCTAAATAAATGAAGTTAATCTTGTTATCTTGTCCCACGCGCATGTATACAGATACACTTCTCATCTATCAGAGGTTGATATCCTCAGACACGGATGACTTGATGCTGTATTTGAGTCAGTTTCTGCTTCCCTTTGGGTGAGCACAAATGGAAACATTTCTACGTCTTTGAACAACAGTATCTAGAGTTCTACGTAGGTCCCATCTTGATTAAATTACAGAGAAAAATATTTAACTAGCCTATAAACTTTTTTATTATTTTTTTTATTTTTAAATGCATTTCAAAGTATCACGTCGGCGTTTTAGCGAAGCAGGTAAGGCGCGAATCAACAACAGGCTTTTATGTTTTTAACTGTAAATCGTAAAACGTTATAAATTAGAAATAATATTAAGACTATTTTTTAAGACTAATTTCTGCCGGCCTTGATTTTAGGCTTGATATCCATCCTCTCCTAATTACCCATAATCTATATATATTTTTACATCATATTTTATATAGCTAGCAGACATTATTCAGCACATCACTGACAGTTTAGTGTAATATGAGTTTAGCTTTGCTCATTGTGCTTTTCGTAGCCTAAGACGTTTTGCAATAAATAAACAAATTAAATAATGCGCTATTTACTTTAATGAATCATACATTAGATAAAACGTGAACAGGGTTTTATGTGTGATACAAACCAAATATTAATAGTAAGAGGTGATGTTTAATGAAAATACACCCGTAAAACTGTGATTTGAGTTCTGTATTTGTTCATACTTAATGACGCCTTCAAATTTTTCAATAAATATTTAGTGAATAGGCCTACTCCTAAAGTCTGCCCTCATGTTAGGTTAGCGCTTTGTAGTTTTCTAAATGACGTTCCTTATTCGGTGTCATTTAAACCATCATATTTTACCCCTCGCTTGCATAATTCCCAGAGAGACAGAGTCAAAATGAAAGACGACAGATGTGTACATTTAAAAGGAGTCTTAATCTTTATTTTTATTACCTCCCTCTTACATGAGACGGAATGAAGTCCAGCGGAAACAGGTGGTTCTGTTCCTGGTGGATTGGGTTACGCTGCAATTTCATGCTTAGTTCGCCTCTGTCCCAAGAAAAAATTAGGTAATTCACGACTAATTCAAGTTCTATACGGCGAAATGAATTTGTTTGATGTGAAAGTAGCGTGCTGCAGTATCAACGAGCAGAAGAAATTAATCTGCTATTATTAGTAGGCTATAATAACCTACAAATTATGTGTTTGTATTTGCGTCATTGTGTGAACTCCGAGACAAGATTGACACAGATTCCATTTTTACGCATTCACTATGCAGTCATAAATTACAGAAAACGTTTGTTCGAAGTAACCTAAATGAACTCCAGGACAGTTGGCTGATTAGTCCGCATTGTCCATGTTAAAGGTGAAGTTTTTATATTTGTCACTCTCTTATTGTGAAATGATCCGTTATAGTTTGTAGTGTTCAGCTGACGCTGGTAGTCTGCAGTTTGTTGTGTTAGGCTATGTCGTAGTAACTCTGGCAGAGGGTATAGACTTGTGGAATGGCTCAATGACAGCAGCTCAGAAACGACAGCACATTGACGGGTTTGGATGGAGAGGAGGACATGCCTGAGAGATCGCGTGAAAGAGACGACAGGCTTCATTACTGTAATTACACTGATTGAATCTCTCACGAGGTTGATGAAAAGTCTGACTCGGGCTCTAGGGCCTCAGAGGGGTGCTCGGGGTGCTGGTGGTTTGGCCAGGGCTGCTGGCCAGTGTCTGCAGCTTATGGTTGCACAGCATCATTTGCATGACACAGCAACCCGGCTCATTTCAATAACATTTGTAGATTCTGTAGACACCTGAATAATAAAATCTGTAGATAATTAAACCACAGTACATCGATTTCTTTTGAGTTTTCTGCTTAACTCACTTATTTTGCCTTTTATCGATGGTAGAGCCTCACATAGCGCAGGCCTATCTCTGCTTTAACTTTTGTCTTTAATCTTATTAGGCTACTATACTAACATGCCTAAACATGGTCAATCAAATGAGTTTGATGTGGTAATTCTAATGATAATTATTTTGTTTTAAAACGTTAGACAAAAATTATGTAATAAATTTTAAAGGGTTGTTTTTCCTGCATGATTGTCAGCTACGTTTCCCCCAAAACATGAAAACAACCAAGAATGAGGGCATAAAGATCAAAAATAACTTTTTTATTTTATTGACAATTTCGTTTAGGCTATACATATTTATAATCAACTATCTTCTATTCGTTCTGTGAGTTTTATTTTTAGTGATTAGGCTACTCTTGAGCCAATTTATAGTCAGTTGGGGAAAATGTCATTAGTCTGTTAACCCCACGCATGTCCAAAATCATCACACGCCATGTATTTTCAGAAAACACTAAGAAATATTCTAAAGCCAAGGTGAATCAGATTTTCCGCTTTTTTTATTTTGCTGATTTTTTTCATTTAACATTCAAAGGCCGCAATCCATGATGGTCTGAGCGAATCCAAGTCGTTATCCTTTACGGCTGCAGCTGATCTGGTTCTACCGCTCAATATTGTCAACAGGCCTCCCGAGGCCTCCTTCGTGCTGCCGGCGTTTATAATGATTTTATTTATTCGTTGTAGATTCAGAGGCCAGCCCGGGCTCCGACGGCGAGGGTCTGGCGGAGAGGACGTCGTGCTCCTTCGGCTCCCCGGCGGACCTGACCCCCACCGCCAGCGATCCCTCACCCTCAGCCTCCATGGAGGAGATCCAGGTGGAGCTGCAGTGCGCTGACCTGTGGAAACGCTTCCACGACATTGGCACAGAAATGATCATCACAAAGGCAGGAAGGTAAACCTTTTATGAAATGTAAAAAAAAAATCTAATTTATGGAGGAGAAGTTCAACATATTGGATCAGACAGTGGCAGCATATTTCAGAATATTTTATTCATGTCTCTGGTATAGCCTAGGTAGTAGCTATGTTTTACCAAATTTAGACAAACATATATAATCGTATGGAATGTGGAACCAAACCTCTTGAAGATATGATAAACAATCCTGGGTCACTATGGCGCTCCCTTTTTTGTCCGCCTGTTAAAAAAATATTGAATAATATGAACGGAACTACTTTGGATGCACCTTCTGCGTGATGAACATGCTTTTGGATTCTGAATTTAAGGTTTGTACTACAGTAAAAGTCTAATTAGACGGTTGAAGTTATTGACAGTGGCATTTTGCATTAAAAAAGTATTAAAAGTAAAAGTATTTTGCATAATATTTTATTAATATTTATTTTAATAATAATAAGCGGTCAATCATACAAAAATGTGATGAATATTCAGATTTAAATGAGTGTGACATAAACAACATGCCTGAAGCCATTTTTTGTTTGTTATGAGTCAAATGAAAACCGTGAAACAAAAAGAACGTCTGGGTCAAGGTCATTAAGTGTATTATTATTATTATTATTATTATTATTATTATTATTGTAAACCACGTATTTCTACTTTTTATAAGTTTAATTGTGATATTCATGACACAAAATTAACAATATTTACCATTTTTAACCTTAAAAACATATTTGAAGACTTTTTTGTTTGTTTAAATATTAACAGAAATTTTCTATTTTCACTCCAATAAAGGTGCAAGGAAAGTATTTTTAGTAGGTCTATTTTTTGCTTGATGTTTACACCACGTCTAAAAAAAAAACAAGAATATTGACGTATTTTTCAGTTGCTTTTTCGAACATGTATGAAACCAATAAAGATTAAACAAATATTACATTTACATTCTAGTTATTTTATTTATTTAAAACTTTTTTTAAATATTTTTTTTAATTTTTTTTATCATCTCGGACATTTGCCATAGACCCATACATACGTAGCATAGGCTACTCAATTTTTTCTTTTTGACGCGCAAATAATCTCAAGGTACCATACGATTGTTTGGCAAAGGGATGTGGCTGCGCACGGGGACTGAAAACATGAAAACTCTGTTTTGTGGGCGCTAATGTGTTACACATGGGGGCAGAAGTACCTAATCACAAACCACAACCTATGCCATGGCGAACTCTAGGGCTATTCTGATACTTAGCCTTATAACAGGACAACAACAACTGTTTCTAATTAATACATTTGAAATATGGTTTTCGTTTTCTTGCTCTTTTGGGCGTCAATTACAGCCCAAACCGAGCATATAACTTAACCTAAACAGTTCACAGTAAGACCTTTCGCCCCTTTCTTTCTCGGCGGGATTGCCAGGTATTTCCGTGCCATTTTTACACTTTATGATCAAACCAACATGAGAACATGTCTCCGTTTATTGGTGCAATTCCTTGTCTTAAAACACAGGGTGAACTTGTACTTAAGAATACTTCCTGATTGCACTGGATGGCTGTAGTAGAGATTATTAATAGAAGTCCATGTTGTGGCTTAGGCAAGTTACCTTAGGAAGAAAAAAATGGACCTGCTGAGTCGTTGCCAGTGAAGAATTATTAGACTTTCTTTAAAAAAAAAACATAACTGTGTACAAAACTTGTTATTTTCCCCCCTATAATTTACCCCTATTTATTTACATTTTAAAATGTATAACCATAACGAATAGACAAACACAAAAATAAAAAGCAACAAGAAACAATTTTTATTTCTTAAAAAATGTAAATCTGAATTATAAAATTAGCATTAGAAAGGTTTGTTCAAACTATTAAAATATCTCACTCAATAAATTTTACTGTAGCCTAGCTATAGCTATTGCTTGGGCCTACACGACATGATGTTTTCATCATCAATAGACCCTTTCTTCCGATGCGCTGCTGCAATAAATCCCGAATGTAGCAATTTTTCGTTGGAACAGTAAACAATTTTGTTTTCTCCAGAACCATCAAACAACGTAACTCGTGTCCAAACTATTTAACAAGTTATACTATAGGCTCTTCATTTGTATGTTTTGTAAAAAATAGAGCCTGAAATAATTACACTGATTTTAAGGCGAGACTGCATGAATAGCCGCGTGTATTTTATGCCCCTGCTAATAATAACCCTATACATTTAGAGGTGTAGGGGGTGGGGTGAGCGACCAGACACTTTTCTCTCATTATGAACAAAGAGATTTATGACGTTTAAATGAAAAGACAAAGAAGTTGCTTTTGAAGTGTAAAATGAGGAATTAGCCAAAAATGTCTTGTTAGATATGAGTCACGTTTTTAAATTTGGCCCTTTTGTTCAGTTTATTTAGTTTGTTTGAACTATTTTATAGATTGTTTTTGTTCTTTGATTACTCTGCTTTTCTAGCTTTCATATCTTTTTAATTGATCAAAATGTATCTGAGTCCTGCTACTATTTGCTAATGGTCAACAAGACAATCTTAACAATAAGATTATAACAGTAAAAATAATTAATTTTATTTATTTATTTTGTATGCTTTTGTTGGTGTCAGAGTGTTGTATTTTTCAATATAACAGACATCACTGTAACACACTGTTCTTATTTAAATGATTAAATTAATTGGCTTCATCTAATTCAACTTATTTACATTTTGTGTATCATTATTTTTAGCATTTTTAGATCATCTTACTATATTTGTCAATGCTATCATTAGACTTATTAGTTAAACATGCAATTACAATCTGCTCTGTTTCAGGAGAATGTTCCCTGCTATGAGAGTTAAAATCGTGGGACTGGATCCACATCAGCAGTATTACATTGCCATGGACATTGTACCAGTGGACAACAAGAGATACAGGTAAGCACTGCTCCAGAGAGTGTGTAGCGCTGTTAGCATGCAGTGAGAAAGGAGGAAAATAGCAAAATGAACTGGGAAGCTGATCCCTCTTGAATGGGGTGGGAGATTTACATGAATAAGCAACACTGACGGCAACACTGACAGAGTTGCCGTATCAGCATTGAAGGTGGTGTAGTGTGTCCCTGTGATTTTGCTCTCACCATGACAACTTTCCATCACACATGCTTACAGACAAGCTTTATTTGAATGCAGCTAAAGCCTGCATGTACGGATTGCAGTAGTGCGCTTGTCCTTTCCATAATTACATGTGCCTTGTTACAAACTTAAGTCTTCCCAAATTAAGTTGATTTTTATTTCATAGTAATTAATAAAGACCTAATGATCAACATAGAATTGGTTAGCTCACATTGTTTCTTCCTAACCATAAATCCAGAAACGCATCTGATTTTTGTTTGTATTCAGTGAAACTATTTGAGTTGTGTTTATGCTTTAGTCCCACACGCTGATGTCTGAGAACAGAACTGGAAACGGCTGAAATCTGTACTCCGTTTCAGGGGATTAGAAGCAAAAGGAGGATATATTTTTCATTAGTCATACATCAGTGAAACACATTTAAATAAAACGTGTTTCTGTTTTTCAAAACTTTAAAGGTCTGCCACAATTTATGCAGCAACACAACATTTTCTCATATTTTCCTAATTTTGTTTTTTAAATAAACACAAGAAAACATTGTGGATGTTACTGTATTAATTACATTGTGACACTTAAGTGGACAACGCAATAATCTTCCAGTTCAATTATATTTAGATTAGTGTATGCATTTCCTGAAAATAAAACCACAGCCATTCGAGGATTGGCCTTGAAGACAACCATTTAGAGCCCCCAAATATCATGGAGGATTTTAGAAGCCAAAAGATCTTGTAAAATTAAATAGGATTTTCTTCCTGGCTGGGGAATTTACCACAAGGCTTTGCAAACGGAGCAAAGAGCTGTCACTGGAATGCCTCATGTGTCTCGAGGGCTCGGGTCTGGAAACGCAGCCTTTATTGGAATTTACTTACTTTACTTAGGCGCACTGCCCTTTTCAAGGGACATAGAGTTTATACTAGACTTGTTAAATCTTTCTTTGTGTTACTTGAATTACTTTGCTATTTAATGTGGCTGTTTGGTATGGCCTATATTTGAGAGAAGAAGGAAGAAAATATGGAGCGGCCCAGATTTTCAGATTCCTCTTGCAGGCGCTCTCTAGCTAATGTATTCACAAATATCCTGTGTGTGCGCTAGCCGTCCTTCCTCCTTTCCCTTTCTCCATCTAAGTGTTGCCCTGTTTGTCTCTTATTTTTGTCTTTGTCCAGCTGTGAACTTCAGGCATGCCCGTCTTTTTCCTCTTCCGTATTTTTTTCCACACAATAAACGCACATGGTGCTAACTCAACTTGATGTAAAGGCAGTGCACATGCTCTGATCCACACTTCAGAGTATCACTTACTGTGTCAGTAAAGTAACCCAATATATAACTTGGTCTATTTGCTGCGGTGTCGTGTGCATGAGAAACGGAACTATTCAGAAAAAAATGGTTTTAGATTAAAGTTGAATCTTCCTGTTTTGTTTCTGCATTAGACTGAAGGGTCCTTACAATTATAATAACCCCATTTTTGCTTTTTTCCCCTTCATCTAAATATATGTAAATGCTTTTGCATATAGTGTGTGTTAAATATTGCTGGACTCTAATGGGCAGTCGCTCCACCATCTGTCCAAAAAGGTGTCACATAAAGTTGGATCTTTATTGATTGTGCTAGTGCCAGATGGCAGATTTATGAAAGATGAAAGAGGGCTAATCAAATTTCCAGTCCTTTTTGGTTTTAGGTTTCCCTTTTCTTTAACACTTTCCCTGCTACATAGAGCATAACCCTAAACAGGACTCCAAACAGGAAATGACAAAAATGCCTGGCACTATATGCGCATGTGTGCGAAGGACGAACAACGTGTGAGTGTTTTTGTTAAATCACACATTTTGTATGGATAAATATGGCCTTTATCTATTTAACTTTAGAGCAACAGATTAATGTGCATGAACACACATGCAAGGCACGCACATTCATGTCCGCAGTAGTGGGGTGCTCTGGGAGAGAATAAGACAGACACGGAGGATGTTTAATGCTGCCAAGCAATAACAAAAGGGGCCAAATGAGAATTTTGTTCATGTTTGAGAGCTGGATGATGACTTTGGCAGAGGCGTCGCAGTTAAGCACTTTCAACTGTGCGCATGGCCAGAACTAAAGGCATCCAGCTGTGCCTCAGGCAGTCAGCTGAGGAAATGCCCTGCAAACAGCACTCTAGGAGTGCCCACATGTATCAGAACCTTTTCAATGCTTTCCATTAATTATGTTAATGTAAACATACTTTACCTTTTAGCACGGGTTAGTAATTTATAATAGTCCAAAAAATAAGGTTCAAAAGGATATTTTGTTTATCTTGAATTTGTATGGTCTGTTAGAAGTGTTTTGAACAATCAAAAGTTGGATGTATGTGTGCATGAGTAATTTTTGGTATTGTTAACAACACTGACTCATAGGCCACAGGAACAGAGCATCATGGCAATTATATGCTCATTTTTGCAGGTATGTGTATCACAGCTCAAAGTGGATGGTGGCGGGAAACGCGGATTCGCCAGTGCCGCCCAGGGTCTACATCCACCCGGATTCACTGGCTTCAGGAGACACCTGGATGAGACAAGTGATCAGCTTTGACAAACTCAAACTCACCAACAATGAGCTGGATGATCAAGGCCATGTGAGTGCACACTTAATTACAGTTAATGTAATGCTGATGTCATTGTATATACATACACTAGTGTTCAAAAGCTCAATTTTATTTAATTATTTTTTAAAGAAATGAATACTTTATTCATTGCTTAATATTTAACACATTAAATTGATAAAATGTGACCATGAAGACATTTATTAGGATTTATATTTCTGTTCTTTTGAACTTTCTATTCATCAAACAATCGTGAAAAATATGTATCATGGTTTCCACAAAAATAGTTTTCCAAAAAAACTGTTTTCAACATTGATAATAATAAGAAATGTTTCTTGAGCACCAAATCAGCATATTAGAATGATTTCTGAAGGATAATGTGACACTGAAGACTGGAGTCATGACTGCTGAAAATTCAGCTTTGCAATCACAGGAATAAATTACGTTTTAAAATATATTATTTTAAACTGTAACAATATTTCACATAGGTTTAATAAAAGCCGCTTTGGTGAGCACAAGATACTTAAAAATCTTACAACCTCTGATTATATATTTGATTAGTAATATAAAGTAAAAGCCACCAACTCATTATATTACAAAAAATACAATATTTGCACATTAAATGTATGCGTTTGAGTGAGGAGATGTTGCATACACCTGCTTATCCACATCACTGTATTCATAACACACACTAGTTGATAGATTACAACCCCACTATCTCCCCAAAAGACATCTGTATATTCTCTCAAGCAAGAAAATCATTATTCAGTGTATTCTCTGAAGAACTGGCAAAACTGGAAAAAGATTGATTTTATTGTACTTGACTGATATTCCCAATGCGTCTGTGCTGAACAACAGCTGAATACATATGGAATGTATGCACATGTTATTGTTTGGAAATACATTTAAAAAAAAATTCCCCCAACATAAATGAATTGTTTTCAAGTATGTTCTTCGAAACTTTGTTTTTTTTTGTCATTGTTGGAGTGTGACTTTCTTGTGCCTGACTCTGGTCTGAGGCATTGTACTACAGGAGTGAGTGCACAGGGATGATTTTATTATCAGACCATCAGAAGACACTCTCATCCCCAGCACGCTTTGTTAGGTTGTCATGGTTGTGTATTGTTCAGTGACAGTGAGAAATGGGGTGATACATCCAGCTCTGTCCAGAATAATGAGACCCACAAGGAAAATGTGCTTAATTTGCTCAGTATGGTTTTAAAGGCTTAGCCCTCATGTTTTCTTTCAATGTTTCCTCATGTTTTGAGATTGACTGTTCATTCTTTATGAAAACCCAGTGTTTAAATGTAAAAATAAAATTAATAAGTTGATATATTATAACTGATATTATGTACGTATTGATATAGGCCTTATCAAAACCCAGTTGGCAGATATTATTCAAACTCAATCCGTCTGTTTTAACATAAGGTAGACGTGCATTCAGATAAGTGATTGTTTTGCAGTGTAGTGTAATATTTTGCTTGGGGTCTCTAAGCTATTGTAACATAATACTTCATTTAAGGCAAGACACTGCAGGTGAATAGGGTAAAAAAAAAAACTAATAGTTATCGCCTTACTTACCCAGCTGATTGATTACATTGATAATTGCAAACTTTTTTTGTATTACAAGTTTTCTAAAATGTTAGGTTTAATATGCAAATGAGTCATTATTTAATGAAATATGCACAAATTTGTAGTACAAAAATGTAAACACTGGATGATGTCAGTTCCAAAATTCTTGTTTAATTTTTTTTACATATTAGAGTCAAAAGTTTTTACAGAGGGAATTTTGGGTATCTCATTTTTGTCACTCCATAATTCAGAAAATGCTTAGAACGGACAGAAAACACTACATTTTCATAATTTTGGGGGGAATAAAATGTTGTATATAATCAAGCAAATTATATATGAACAAATCCCTCTGTAAAAACCTTCAGGATATAGACCGGAATAAAAAAATTAAGTTTGGTGTGTGTAAGTGCTACTGAAGTGGAGATTTAGAAGAAAAAACTCATTTTGAGAAAACGGCCTTTAAAAATATGTATTGTAATTGAAATCTATTGACACAAATAGATAAAGTGCTATAAAAGAAACAATTAACAGTGCATTTTGGATGTTTTCTTTCCACTAGTCTGAAAAAACACTTTATGAAAAACCAAAAAGCCCAAAATCTCAAACTTGACAGGTGCATGAAAAAACAGTGTTTTTGCCTGCAGTGTCTCCCCTTAATTGCATGTAATCAATTTTAATATATAAAATGGAAATTACTCAATCCAATTATGACTACATTATTAATTTTCATTGACCACAACCAGATGCACATGTGATATCGAATTCCCATCATGCACTGTAGCATGAATAATTCTCACTATATGTGACCCTGGACAACAAAACCAGTCTTAAGTCGCATGGGTATATTTGTAGCAATAGCCAAAGTAAAGATCATGTTCCATGAAGATATTTTGTAAATTTCCTACTGTAAATATATTAAAACTGAATTTTTGATTAGTAATATGCATTTAAGAACTTCATTTGGACAACTTTAAAGGCGATTTTCTCAATATTTAGATTTTTTTGCACCCTCAGATTCCAGATTTCCAAATAGCTGTATCTCAGCCAAATATTGTCCTATCATAACAAACCATACATCAATGGAAAGCTTATTTATTCAGCTTTCAGATGATGTATAAATCTCAATTTCGAAAAATTGACCCTTATGACTGGTCTTGTGGTCCAGGTTCACAAATACTAATTCCATGATAATACTATGTTATTAGTATTGGTGTTGTGTTGGTTGCCCTATTAAGTTATGAATCATGTAATGTTAGCTTGAGTGCCTTTCTTTCTTTAAATATGTGGTTGTTGAGTGTCACAGTGTATTGTTTGTTGGATGGGTTGAAAATCCTGATTTGAAAAAACTTTTTGTGTGTGCAAGAATGCCGTCCCCACAGCTTCCTACACATTTAATAGCATATGTTCAACAACAACAAAAAAAGTAAATTGGTTAAAAAAAGTTAACTCAACATAAATGTTTAATTCTGACTAAATATTTTCACATTTGTGCAACAAACATAGATCAAATACATTCTAACTTAAATTGAGTAAAACTTTTCCATACAATAAACAATTAAGTTAAACAAATGCTTTTAAATGTATTTTTCTTGTCTGAAACAGAGCAATAATATTGTTTGATTAATGTGACTATTCGTTTTTAATTGTAGCCATTTAGAGTAGCCTATGACCAGTGGAATAGTGCTGTTGGACTGAGGGCAAGGAGTATAGAGTAATTGCACATGACAGGCTGCGTATTCTTTACAGAGAGATACAGTGTATCAGTATTTTAGATGCAGGGTTGGTGTGGGTAAAATAGTTGCCTTAGGCCACGTCTGCGAACTTCGCTGCTCTACTGGCATCTCCTCTGCATATGGGGCTGTTTTGACTCTAGTCACTCACTGATCCTATCACTCGACTATTCTGACAAATGTAATAACATATGGGTGTTACAACTGCAGCAGGCTAGTGTTTTTTCAGGAAGAGGAGAGGGGACTTTTCTTATACCACAACCTCGTAAAAAGAGACTTTCTTTTTTGTTCGCCTGGAGGGCGAGCGAGGGCCGGAATTGAAGTTAACCTTGGAATGTCCTGTGTGGGACCTCGCCGTCATGGAATATACAAACCTCACGTTCCTCCTTCTGACAAGAAATCATTTAGATTGCAGTTTCATCGCAAAGACGATTGAAATATTACTGGTGTATAATTATGTGGATGCTTCTACTTCAATATTATATATGTATTATTTTTTATATATATATAATTAATTAATTGTATTTAATTAAATAAATGTAAGTGTATAAGAGAGAGAGTGCATGTGTATGTGTGTGTGTACACATACAAACACACACACATACATATATATATATATATATATATAAAAGAGAGAGAAGGAGGGGGAAGAAGGAGTGCCTCGCTGGTTCAAGTGCGGTTCTCTTAGAAGTCGGGGTGTGTACGGCGTGGGTTGTGGCCGACAACAGCCCAAATAAACACACCTTGTACATCAAAACGCCTCGTCCTTGTCTGAGAACGCTACAATATATATATACACACACACATATAAATTATGCGTACACATAATTATATATTTAGTGTATGTGTGTGTGTATATATATATATATATACGCATATAAATTTCAGAATTAACACATATTTTAAATATATATATTATATATGTAAATTATATATCGTGCAACTTTTTCAACTTCACAACAGCTTCAGTTAGCTGTGTGGTTCAGCATAGTGTATCTTTGGCACTCATAACGTTCCTTTTTTGTGCTCAGATATCACCTGCAAATTCCTTTTTGGCCCCAGACAATGTTCTGAATCCTGAATATCTCGGATCTGTAGAATTACAGCAGTGTGGCTTTGAACACTTCCTATCTGCAGTCGGGCTTCATTGAGCTGGTGTTGTCTGGCCTTAGGCAGCACTGGGCTCCTGGGCTGTGCATTTGGATAGGAAGGGGGGAACTGGAATATTAAATTTACTGTCATCAAGCTGTTTTGCAAAGGCCTCTCTTCTCTTGCCTGACCTCCTCGGTTGCGGTGGACCCAGGAGACGCACACTGACACTGGGAGTAATTAGAAACAGACCAAGGGCCGGAGGGAAGGCTACAGCCTCCATGCTCTGACGCCAACATATCGGTGTGAGATACTCACCCTCGAGTCGGCCTGATTCATATCTAATCAACATGTGTACACACTGTGATACAGCATGTTCTCCTATTGGACCAAGCGGCTTTGATATTCACAGCCTCATTATGCCACAGACATTTAATCCATACAGCTGCAGAAATGTGCTCTTGTGGTTGCGGCGGAGTAGCTGATGTTATGACTTTCTTTATTTCTAGATCATCCTGCACTCGATGCACAAATATCAGCCCCGTGTCCACGTGATCCGGAAAGACTTCAGCAGCGAACTCTCTCCAACCAAACCTGTTCCTACTGGGGAAGGAGTAAAGACGTTCAGCTTCCCGGAGACCGTCTTCACCACGGTCACAGCCTACCAGAACCAACAGGTCCATTACTGACTGTCAGTTATAATTTTTTTTTTACCAATAATTGACAGATACCAATAAAAAAAATCTCTTATATCATACTGTGCACCCCAAAATAAAACTATATCATGCATCAGTTTCAAAACCCACAAATTGAAAAAAGGCATTTTGTTATGTTTATTATTAAAGTGATATGATAAAAGTGTCTGAATGTCAAAATATTATTAAATGAGTCTGTTTTGGACTTCTTCTCTTGTAACAGATTACCCGTCTAAAGATTGACCGCAACCCATTTGCCAAAGGATTCCGGGACTCAGGGAGAAACAGGTAGATTTTCAGGAAATCTTAGCCTTGCTCCGTATTGTCCATGCTGTGTGCACAAATACACCCATATCTCAGCAGTGGCCTTTCAAATGGATATGAACCCCAGGAGATCCCTCCTAATCCCACGTCCCGCTACATTAAAATCACTCCCTCGTTCGGCTGCCAAGAAAGCCTAGTCGATCTGTGATAAAGCAATCTGATTGAGGGCAGCGGAAAGAAAGATGCCTCTCTTTCCTTTTCTCGCTTTTTTAACTCCTTTCCCTCAATCTCGCCCACCCTTTCACTCGCCTTTCTTTCCCTCTCGCCGTATTTCCGTGCACTTCATTGCTCCGTCTCTATAAAATGCGAGTCAGAACGGTCATATAATGCAAGAAAGTCTGAGACAGACCCTCAGCACATGAAAGCACGCTTCCATATGGAGAGTATTATCGCCACAGATATTTGAGACATCTTTTTTCATTTTTCAAACAATAGACCGCTTGATTTATGAACTAGCGTTAGATTTTCATTGCAGAAAAATAGAGATGAAAAGATTATTCAGGAGTAAGATATACAGTATATATAGAAAATGCTCTTGCCCTCACACATATATAAAGAATTAGAAACAGACCAAGGGCCGGAGGGAAGGCTACAGCCTCCATGCTCTGACGCCAACATATCGGTGTGAGATACTCACCCTCGAGTCGGCCTGATTCAGCAGAAATCAACATGTGTACACACTGTGATACAGCATGTTCTCCTATTGGACCAAGCGGCTTTGATATTCACAGCCTCATTATGCCACAGACATTTAATCCATACAGCTGCAGAAATGTGCTCTTGTGGTTGCGGCGGAGTAGCTGATGTTATGACTTTCTTTATTTCTAGATCATCCTGCACTCGATGCACAAATATCAGCCCCGTGTCCACGTGATCCGGAAAGACTTCAGCAGCGAACTCTCTCCAACCAAACCTGTTCCTACTGGGGAAGGAGTAAAGACGTTCAGCTTCCCGGAGACCGTCTTCACCACGGTCACAGCCTACCAGAACCAACAGGTCCATTACTGACTGTCAGTGTACAGCACATAGTTCAGGTGTTAATGAGTCAAAATATATGAAAGTGTCTGAATATGATATTTTCATATACAACTAGGAATGCACTAAAATTCCAGATGAGTTATTTTTGTGTTATGGCTGATAAATGATAAATGGTCGATATTAAAATTCTATACATTTTGTCTAAATGACAAACACTAAAAACTAAAATCAATTGTTTTATATTATACAAGTGAATTTAGAGATTACAGCAGTATAACATTCAGTATGAAAAATGGAAATTCATTTTGATTTTTGCCAAAAATCACTTTTAGCAGTGTAAATTATAAATCATTAGTTATTTTTAAAAAGAGCAAGATTAAAGATTAAAAGAGCATTAGCTAATCTAAATGTAAAAATAGATAAAAATGATCATGCACATTTATATATATATATATATATATAAATAACTATCTGATGCAAATTGTATGAATATTGTATGTATTTTACACCGCAAAAACAGCATTTATTTGACCAAACATTTGGCACTTGTCAGCAAGCTGAAAATCTAAATAGTGTGGTGAATGTTTATATGGTTACCAATGAATGGGACACTACAATTTATTAGGAGATCCCTCCTAATCCCACGTCCCGCTACATTAAAATCACTCCCTCGTTCGGCTGCCAAGAAAGCCTAGTCGATCTGTGATAAAGCAATCTGATTGAGGGCAGCGGAAAGAAAGATGCCTCTCTTTCCTTTTCTCGCTTTTTTAACTCCTTTCCCTCAATCTCGCCCACCCTTTCACTCGCCTTTCTTTCCCTCTCGCCGTATTTCCGTGCACTTCATTGCTCCGTCTCTATAAAATGCGAGTCAGAACGGTCATATAATGCAAGAAAGTCTGAGACAGACCCTCAGCACATGAAAGCACGCTTCCATATGGAGAGTATTATCGCCACAGATATTTGAGACATCTTTTTTCATTTTTCAAACAATAGACCGCTTGATTTATGAACTAGCGTTAGATTTTCATTGCAGAAAAATAGAGATGAAAAGATTATTCAGGAGTAAGATATATATATAGAAAATGCTCTTGCCCTCACACATATATAAAGTGATAAAACTAATATAAAACTAATGCAAATAAAAGACTTTTTCATACAATAAAACAGTTGATCAGTCACAAAGTAACCACAGTTCCATTTATGCACTGGATCCTTCTCATCCCAGTTTACAAACCGCAGATTAAGTTGTAATGTTAGTTTTTGATGATCGGTGGAATCAGTTGTGCTTAACCAAGCTATAAATCAGTATTTTAATGTAAATCACAATCAGTGATGTATTATATTAAAGGAAAATATAAGTCTTTCATTTGGTGACCACTGTTTGGATTCAGTCTCAGCCAGTGCATTAGAGCGTCTCACTAACAAGCAGAACGGAGTAGAGAATTACTGCCGCTTAAACTGCGCGGCGAGGGCCGATGCAGGGAGCGCTGCAAAGAGGAGTAAATCACACAGGAAGGGGAGCCATGTACAGAGCACAGATGAAACATCACCCAGATTTACGTGCACAGTAAAAACCTGCTCCTTTTTACAGGCTCCAGTTTCCTCAAACTCCCCCTCTCTTTTTTTGCCTTTTTGCCGCTGCCTCGTTTGCATAATCTGACTGGCTCACCTGTTTTCTCTGCCATCTCTCGTCTCTTCTTCTGTCTTTCTCTGTCACTGTCCCTCGTGCAGGACTGGGTTGGAGGCAATAATGGAGACGTATGCTTTCTGGAGACCTCCAGTGAGGACTCTGACGTTTGAAGACTTCACGAACATGCAGAAACAGCAAGGTATGCAGAGATGTTTTTAACTTGCCTACTTGAATAACGGAGGCTTTGGATTTCAAAATATTGCTTCATAAATCATTTTTAAAGTTACTGTGTGGCCACAATAATCACATACCACAGTGGATTTATGAATGACACTAAGCCTGTAGGGAGCTCTGCAATGGGTGGGACAAGTTGGACAATCTTGTGTTTTTGTGTCCAAGAGTGAGGTTGTCTATATGCCTGTTCGAACGATCAAATATTATTTCCCTTCTTCAACACCTTAAAGGAACAGTTAGCCCTAAAATTAAACCATGTTATAGCTTAATGTGAGAAAGAGTCCAAAAATCATTGTTTAAAGAATTAAATATACATTTAAATTCACATATTCAAAATGTAATAATTATTTTCAGTCTGATCTTTTTGAAAAAGCAATGAATGATTCTGAATTATTTAGTTTCTTTCCCATTCCGAGCCGCAGAGCAGACTAGATTTTCAAAACAACAAACTGAGTGCTGGCCAACTTCTCGTTAATAAAGAAATATGTGGTAGATATCCCACTGCTATCATTCAGTTCCAAGTGACTTATTCGCTGTACATATGTGCCAGTGAATTTTTCCCTCTATGAACATATGCCCAAATGCTGCCTGTCGTACTGAGAGAAGACAGCCAGTGTTCTGTTGACCAGACATGCGTGTTATGAAACTCAAGCCACATTTGCATTCAACATTTGTCACATTATCCCTGAGATGGTTGTAGCTGACAAGACATGTAATGGGCTTTTCACACTGTGCTTAACCTCTGGTTATTGTCTCCTTAAACTCGCTTTCAAACCCAGGTAAACCAATGTCTCACACAGAGGTAACCCCATATTTTGGTGCCAAATGTATACAGTGTGAAAGAAAGCTGTGTTAGAATGTAATGGCCAATTGTTTCACAACAAACCACCAATCATAAACTGAACAGCGCTTGTCTTATTACATATTTATGCGCTGTAAATAGGCACAGGAACTTTCATGCACTGTATTTTGTCTCAGTGTTGAGGTAAAAATCAAAATGTCAAACAGTGATGGAAAATGTTTTTGAGTGAAGAAGAGAGCATTTTATTTGTATACTTAGAGTACGAAAAGTATATTGAATACAAACTGTACTCAATATAAGCCCAGCTGATATGCAAGAGCGAGACAAGCCATTATTAAAAAGGCTGCATATTGTGTTCCAATAAATCATACTGACAATGCAAATCTGCAAAGAACAACATTAACCCGCGGTTTACAAATGTACACTTTTAAAAGTATGGAGTCAGCACTTTTTTGTTTTTGAAAGAAGCATTTATTTGAGGAAAATAAAAACTGTAATATTGTTAATTATTATCATTATTATTATTACAATTTATAATAAATAAATTCTGTTAGTTCAGTTTTTAGAATGGTCAACTGTTAACAATTTTAATTATAAACCTTTTATTACAGACCAATAATTATAGACCTTAAGGGGAAAAAAACACTCAAAAATTTTGTCATCATTCACTCACCCTCATGTTGTTCCAAAAAATATATTTTGAAGAACTGTTTCTGTCCATACAGTGAAAGTCAGTTGGGTCCAAAATTGGTCCCCACTGACTTTCGGTGTATGGACAAAAAAACACTGATATTTCAAAATATGTTATTTTGTGTTTCACATAGGAAATAAACCCATACAGGATTGGAAAAACATGAGCCAATCCCTTTAGGAAAGCTCAGCAACTTTTGGAGAATGTAGAATAGCACTGTGGAGATGAGCGCTCCATTATGGGTTAATTCGTGGCACTTGTTGCCAGGTTTGAACAGGCCTCTCTTGTAACCAGATGAAATGCTCTCCCTAAGGAGCCATGGTGACTGCTCATGGTCCACGGGATGAAATAAGAGATACTCTCTTGGTGTGATTGTTGGACAGTGTGTGTGTTTTCAGAGCTGGCTCTGTCTCACTGTTCTCCTCTTGTGTGTGCACTTATTCTTCATGCATAGGAACGTGTATCCACAGTGTGTCTTTGGGGTTTGGATGTTTCTGAATGTTTGCTGACTCTGTTTTTCAGGAGGGAGCACTGGCACCTCTCCCACTACCTCCAGCACTGGCACTCCATCTCCCTCCGGTGCAACACACCTCCTCTCCCCTTCCTGCTCCCCTCCTACTTTCCATCTGGCGCCCAACACCTTCAATGTGGGCTGCAGGGAGAGCCAGCTGTGTAACCTGGGCTTGTCTGAGTACCCAGCATGTGCCAGGAGCAACATGGCCGCCCTGCAGGGCTACGGAGGACTGGCCGACGGCTCCTACGGCCGCCTCCAGACCACAGGAGGCGCTGTAACCTCTGCCCAGGCTTCCGATTCCTTCCTGCCTCAGAGGACTTCCTCTCTCATCGCTGCTGGAATGCAGGGAGGGGCTCACACCTCATTGGCTGCTGGTAACGGCAGTGGCGGAGGCAAGATGGATGCATATGGAAGTCAGCTGGCCTCTTTTCCCGCGTCCCAACTGCAGTACGTCATGCAGGCAGGGGCGAGCTCCACCTCTGGGTCATCGGCTTCATCTGGCTCCTCCCCTTCCTCCGCCCACATGTTCTCTGGGAGCCATCATCATGTGCAGCAGAGCACATATAACGCCTTTTCCCTTCACAATCCCTACAACCTGTACGGATACAACTTCCCGGCCTCACCGCGCCTGGCGGCCAGCCCGGAGAAACCTCAGAGTGGCTTATTGTGCTCCTCCTCCTCCGCTGGAGCGTTTGCCGAACGTCAGTACCTGTCCAACAGCGGCATGGACAGTATGCACATGATCGGCAACCCTGCCGGCAGCCAACAGGGGGCTGGCAGCTGTGATGGCCGCCAGTATGGCTCCTCTTCACAGATGTCTATGCACATGGTTTGAAGCCATTGAAAATAAACCAAAAACAGATCCAAACACCAAACACGAACAGCTGCTGCAGTCTTTTGCTCAGCGTTACTGGGTTTTCAGAGTTTTATCATTCAAAATGTCTGACACATTGGCGTGAGCAGTTTGCCATTGTGATGTTGGTGACACCAGCTGTTCAGTGTGGACGTATTACACACATGCCTTATCAATCGTCAGACTAAAATGGAGTTGAAGTGTTACTTGCCATCAAAACAAATGGATATACAAGCTAAAAATGACCCTTGCAACTTGACTGTTGTTGTTGCTGACCTGTCGATCTCAACAATGTGCAAAACTGAAGTAAATCAACTGAGGTCTGATTTTTAGAAAATGGATTCTGATGAGGATTCATATTTGGTGCAATAATGACAGCAATAATGGCCCCTTAAATATCCCACAAGAACAAGAGACATCAGCCAGAACATGAACAAAATGCCCTCAAAACTGTGAGCGAATAAGTGTTGTCAGTATTACGTTTTCGTTGTTGATAGTATATGATACTTGTTATGGGTTGTGATGCGATGTTGTAAGCTCACTGACTCTTTCAGAGATGAGGGGTCTCAGGATGGCAAAGTCAAATCCTCCTGTAATAACAGGGTCTCTGTATGGTTCTGACAATCTGTACTGAAATGTTAAACCTTTGCCTATTGGTTTGGAAAAGGCTTAACCATATCCTGAGTGGAACATAACATTTGAGCAATAGTGAATGCACGCAAAGCACATAGGTTTTAAATTGTTGTGTGGATAAATAATAATAATAATAATAATAATAATAATAATAAATACAATAAGAAGACAAGGTATATGCTTTGGAGTGTTTGTAAATGAATATATTTAAATGCTAAGCAATTATATGGCCAGTGTATGTTGAATTTAAATAGTGTGGGAGTAATGAGCAATAATGTTTTAGGCCTTTAAGACTGTAAATACAAGTGCCGAGCACATAAAGCTCATTAAATAAACATTATAAGTCCTCTGTATGTTTCTTGAAAAAAAAATCAAGCATGTTTAGTTTCTTTTGGTTGTGGCTTTGAAATGACATCATGCAGTATACAGTATGATGGATCTCAAATCAGAAATTATCATAGATTTGACCTTCACAAACATTTATGTATGTATTTGAATAGTTCAATGATTTTTTAAAAGTTGAACTATACACACAATTTCATACAGAAAGCATGAGGATTTCCAAAAACTTAAGAAAGTCGTTTTTACTAATCAAATGCAATCTATCTCATGCCCTATTATTTTCCCCTCTGTTATAATCATGGGCTTGAGATAAAGAGAAAGCAAAAATGATTATTTGAAAGTCAATATGTGTAAAAATAAATGTGTAAAAACAAACGATTGATCCTGCTGTTCTCTTTGAAATAAAGAAGAAAGAGACGACCATGTGGATCAAATTCATCTTTTTCACTGTGGTGATGCATATAAATATGCCACCTGTTTAAAGAGAGCGAATGAGGGCAAGAGGGACTGGGGAGAGAGGAATCTGTTAGACTCTGGATGTGGGTAATTTTTACATTTCTGGTTTTAATATGTCTGCTCTTAATATGTTTAGAGTATGTATTTATGATCACTTCTCTCATGTCTGGGCTTTGGTCCTCATTATCCCGGCACAGACTTCATTGATTTAAAAGCACAATCAGCATCTATTACATGGATGTCTTCAGAAGTGAGTAAATTTTTTTCTCTTTCTCTCTGTTCCTCTTTATTTTTCTTCTTTCTCAGATCACTTCCCATCATGTGCTCGGTTCCAGCTATGAAATATCATATCTGAATCATCATCATCAGAAAGTAAACGGGGCAGAAGACCGTGGAGACATATCTCTGTATTAAAAACACCTGTTTTTCAAGTGCAGCTCTAGTAATGACTGGATATGCAATCGAAGAGTGCATGATTTCATAATTTGGCACATCTCCATCTATCTGGACATTATTTCCAATAATTATGCACATTTATTTGTCTGGTACTTCGAAACAAAGCTCTGCTAAAATTTCAAATCAACTTGTCCTCTGTAAAAATGAACCATGGCCTCTCACACCCAGAATGGACAGGTAAATTCAGGAAATCTGAATGTTGAAGTGTAAAAGAAAACAGTTGAAGTATACAGAATAGATTCCATACATTATTTACCAAACCCACATTGTTGTGTTACAACAAAGATCTACTGTCTTGTTTTCAGGAAATACTCATAGATTCTCTTTTATATTCGCTTTCTTTTAAACATATTTGAATTATTATTTATTAATTAATTTTAGCAAGGCATCTCTCAAAATACAATCTGTAAATTGAAAACTTGCCCATAGATGTATGTATAGACTACAAACTACATAACTAGAGAAGGCTCTGTTCACCAAACAGGACCTTGAGTGACAGCTTAGAGTGTCAGATCTGTTTACAATGATTGATTGATTCTTCAGTCCTAGAAGAATTAAAAAAAAACAATGAGAAAATCGGAAGTGTTTCTTCTGACAATCCACACAGCTGGTTTAAAGTATGGCTATGTAAGATAAGATTTCTGGTAAACTATTGCCATCTTGTGTTTCTCTTCCACATGATTCTACCAGCACTGAACTTGTTTGAGTAAATAACTCAGAATTCCTGTTGAATGCAACAGTACAAGTCAAGTCAGTTGTAATGCTCAGATTACGTTTCCAGTGTATGTACTTTCCCCCTTTCTTTCTCTTTATTTTTTATTTATTTTTTATTTTTTTGCGTATGAATTTTCTATTGTTTTCTAACCGCAAATTTTTACATGAATATTGGCGAAAGGTTTATCTAACCAGAATTTATTGTTTGACGTTTACAGGATCTCCAGCGAATCCCTCCACCACAGTACGAGTAATTAGAATCTAATTTCAGATTGTCAGATTCAAAACCAGTCAAATTACTCTGTTTGTACACGTACCTGAGTTTTACGCACTCATGCATTATGTGACGTACGTAATTAGAGAGTCAACAGAGCAAGAGATGTTTTCCGTGACTGTGCTGCTTTCACTTAAAATATGGTAGGTAAGTGCTTTTTTGTTTGTTAGGTTTTTTTTGAGTTTTCTTTAGTCTAAGTTTAAACCCAGCTCAAGCGTCCAGCGTCATGGAATGCTTTTGTTGGTGGCTTAATTTGACTGTTTCATAATAACTCCCCATGTAGCTACATGTCACATTATTGTCAACTCTGACATTTTAAAGAAATTTAAAGGCATATGTAGTCATATTTATTATAAAACAATGTTTCTTAACTTAATGTATCACGCTAAAGGCCCAGATTTAAAATGCACAGGAATTTGACATGTTTTTAACAGATGCTAACATTATACAAGTGTAGCATTTTAAAGCTGATCTAAACCATTAATAGTTTCTTATATTTAAAATCCGTAGACATGCAGGTCAAAAGGAAGTGTTTGAACCTTTTTTTACTTGAGGGAGGAAAAGAGATGTTTGAGATGCCAACACCCTCTCAAAGCAAGTGGTTCTGATGAAACGATAAGTCCAGATGGAAACAGCTGAGCCCAGGGCCAGACCCCTTTTCCTGTGGCTCAGTACCTGTGGAGTACAGAAACCCCCCACTGAGGCACTTCCTCCTCTAATGAGAGAAGTCCAGCCTGGACTGGTCCCATGGATCTTGCTAGTGACCTTGCTGAAGCATGCACTGAATCAAGCATCCCCAAAACCAGACGTGAGGTAAGAAGAGTGTGGCTGAAACCTCAAACTCTGTCAAAACACATAACTTTTAGAAATCGGCTCTCTGGTGTGCGTTTCCCAAAGCATCCTAGTCAACTATGGTCGCAAGTTCTGTTGTTACCAACATAGTTCAGTGATTCTGGGTTTCCCAAAACCATAGTTCCAATGAACATTTGAAAACAGTGTTGCAATGTTATGTGGTTAGAACTAAAGCTCTTGACCTGTGGTTAGAAGTTTATATATAAACATTATGTAGAAAATGTTTCTACAGTTTATCAAGTGCTGTGTTTGAAGAGTGTAAATGTGCACTAGTACACAGGGTGAACCATGGAGTATGACATATGTGGAAAGAAACCAATGACTAAATCAACCATCTGGAAAGAAAACAACAGAGAACAATTGCAAAGTAGTTCTCATATGCCATGTACATTATTTACAGCAGTAATCTGACATTAATCTCGAACCAATTAATTAACACAAATTATTACTCCCCCATCTGTGTGAGGATGTCATTAACAACAGTTCTGTTAGAGTGCTGGAGTGATGGCGAATTTTTTGTAGGCCAACCCAGGAAGTTCACATCACCCTTTTTCTCTTTTTCTGTTGGCTTTTTGATTATTGCAGAAAATAAGCTCTGTGACCAACAAAAGTTTATGATTCTTACATGTTTCGTTCATCACAGCTTTTATGAAATTTTAAGCCTAAATACAGTCACCAGAAGTAAAAAAACAAAAAACAAAACAAAACACCACTACACCAAAGTCATATGACTTTACCACCATTAGGCTTCCAACAACTATTTCAGTCTTTCCCCTGAAAATCTGAATTGGAATAGTTTGCAAATGTGAGACTATAAACACAATGAGGCTGTAATAGCAGACTAATGAGTAGATGAGTTTACTTGTTCGGCATGATGTTGTTTAATGTCGTCAACAAACTCTGTAGGCACATTAGGCCACTTGTTAGCAACCACTTTTTCAAGACTGGTGAAAAGGACAAAAATGTATTTTATGTCATAGAATAAAATGTGAAAATATCTAGAGCTTGTGTAAGCCACAGACCTTTTTTTAGTAATTTAACCAAGAAACCCAGGGACCATCTGTGCCTTGCCTGTGCTGTATGAGCAGTAGGCCTATTCATCCACTTGAAAACATAGACCTTTATGTAGACTGAATCAATCAGCTCATAAAGGTGTTTAGCATTATTCAAAAATAGAGGGTGCAACTGCCCTCCCAAGCTCAACAGCTTGTAAATCTGTGGTGAAAAATGAAAATGCAGCATGTCCTAATTGTGAGCGATATGGGCAGATATGAGACTGCCCCGCTTGTTAAAATCATCAGACTGTTAAAATTAAAACATTTCTAAGAAACACATGAGATCCCTGAGTTCAACAAAGCAGTCATTGAAAAATTTGCTTAAAAATGAAACAACTTTGTGCCAAATTTTTAAATAAATCACCAACCAATTAGTGTAAGTATAAATCCTTTAGTTTAAGTGTGCTCTTGCGCATAGCCTGTAAATAAATATGAATATAAATAACATATCTACATTCCAGAAAGGGAAACTATTGCAAAAGAATAACCAATAAAAGATAATAATGATAATAATAAAAATGAAATAAAAATAGCCTAAACAGTTTGTTACTTGGTTAATTGTTCTGTGAATTGACATGGCTTTGTTTTCCTCTCCTGAATTTTTAGGACCTTGATATAGAAAAACAGGAATCCATCATTACAGAGCTTTGTTTTTACTGAAGGGGTAGTTCAGGCAATGTAAATTCTGTCATCATTTACTCACCAACATAAGATATTTGAAAGGATGTTTGAACTGTCCATAAAAGACAATGATTCAGTGTTGTTTTGGACCCCGTCTTGAACAGTCAACACATTCTTCAAAATATCTTTATTCAAAACAGACACAGCATAACTAAACAGTGGAAAAGACACCCTGGTCAATGTAGCTAGGTTGAGCGATATTGCTTGCTATTATTAATGATCGTTTTACTGGGGCAATAAATATGTTTAAATCATGTTTACTGTAATTATGATTGACTAGACATTGCCTTTGTGAAATTATATTGCAAGGCTAAAGTATTTATAGTGTAAAGTATTGACCTGTAGAAATAGTTTTGGGTGTATTATCAGTGCGGCGACGATTGAGTATATCGTGCCATAAATAATATAGGCCTGTAAAAACACCACGCAGCTTTAGGCACACTTTTCTCCTCTCTATAAACCAATGCACCTCCTCAGTCCTCGACTAGGCCTCTGCGCCACATTCTGCAGTTCGATTTGTTCCGCTCATTATTTTCACAGGAAGTTTGTTTAACGGTCGATAGATGGACAGCACGAACAGCCATCATTCAGGCTGCTTGAAAATGCAGAGCTAATCCAGAACCCCCCCAACAGTTAAATATTCTGGGAAATATTCTGCCAACACACATGCGTACAATAAATCACCTTTATAATGCTTGTCACATAAAATGTTACTATGATGGCTGGCTTAAGATTGTGTTTGTAGAGTAGGCCGTGCCAGTGCCTCTCCGTCTATGTTAGCCGCTCATCAATCTATGTGTCGAGGCATGTAGATATGTGTTGGGTGCATGTCTGAATGCAGGTTTGACGAACAGCCGCTGCATTCTCCTCCACCCCTCACCTGGGCCATCGGTTTCATGGAAATTTCAAGCCAGCCTTTCCAAACAGCTCCACGTTAATCGCCTTTCAAAGCGGTTAGTTGGGTAAAAATGGCATTCTAA